TTAGGTTTCAGAGGTTAGGCTGGCTTGCAGCTGCAAACGGTTAGGTCGGTCTTATAGGCCGCAAGGCGGATAGCTGTGGGGTGTCGGGTCTGAAGTTTGCAGTTTATGGAAGCAGGACTTGTCCAACACACTGTGGACAATGGCCAAGCTCGAAATGGCCCACTTGCCCCTGCTGGCTGCAGTCGGGGGCCCCGGCCGTGGGAGAAGCTTGGGATCTTCGTATAGATGCTTGAATAGTAAGACTAGGTTTTCGTGTGATTTGTGTTGGTGGTGGGCCGTTCAACACAGTCTACTGATGCTATCGACCCCCACAGAAAGATCCAGACGGAGAGATTCATCTACGGGCGGCCTAAGGGGCAACCCAGCAAACTGGGCTTTCCAAGCTTTCTGACGCCTTTCTAACGCCTTTCTAAAACCAGCACCAGCATTCCGAGTTCGCTGAGGCCCATGCAGTTCTTATGTTTAGGGTGGTTTGTCCCTGGGGTTTTCCCAGGAACTACTTTGTGGTCAGGACTTCGGAGGTTGGACTTCGGAGCTAAATTTGGCACTTGGGTGAAGCTGGGGGGGGGGGGGNNGGGGGGCTGATGACGACATGATGATCACGACATTACTATGGCGACATGATGATGACGACATGGTGATCACGACAGTACGATCGCGACACGACCATGACGACCTGATGACGATGGCGACATGATGATGACGATGATGGTGATGCTGGTGATGATGTTGATAATCATGACTCGTCAGGTTGAAGACGACAGTGGCAATCTCTGAAGTCCAAACAAGCTGAAGTGCCTTCATGCTCAGACCCAAGCAGTGAACCCGTCCAAAACTCTAAACTGAAGCACCGCAAAGCACCAAGACATACTAAGACTAAGCCTGTTAAAACTGTACTACTCCGCACTCGCACAAGGCAAAGCCCCGAGTTTTTGAATGTTTTGTTTCTGTCCTCAACACAAGAAACCCAGAACTCTGAACCCAAACAAGCAAAAAAACACCACTGTGCTTTTATCAAGGTGTGTGAAATGCTACAAATACAAGTGAATTCGCTCCCCTGTTGCAAATTCACCATGAAACGCAGGGTTTTCCCCATGTTTTCAATCAGTACTCCGCACTCGCACAAGACCAGGCCTCGAGTTTTTGCATGTTTTCGTCGTCCCAATGATGCCAACACCTTGGTTTGCAACATCTGCGCGCAGTGCTTCCAAGCCATAAGCACGCGCCAGGACAACATGTTCCGAAGAACGTAACCCTGTTGCGTCAGTGCAAAATCCTCGGTATTTTCGGTGTTTTGGAGCTCTTGGTCTCCGGGAAACCCGCCATGGACACGCCTTTAGGATTTAGGGTTCAGGAGCCTCGGGTCTGCGGCTCTGTTGAAAATTCGACCTTTCGCGCAGTTGAAGTGGGGATTCCAATTTCCTGAAGCCACCAGCTGGACGGCTAGGGTTTGGACAACCCTGACCTTGAGCTCCAAAATCCAAAACTTTTTCACTTAAAGCGGAAAGCCATGAAGCCAGCGATCGAAGACGCGCCGAAAGCCCCAACCTAAGACTCTAAAGCCACCAACCACCACATCCGTATCTCCTCAAGTCCTAAAGCCTGACACTACAGCCCCAAAGCCGTAGCACCACAAAGCATCAAAACCTCCATGGATCCTGGTGGCAGGTCTCTGCTGCGTCGATGCAGGCCCGGCCCTCCTAGGCTCAGGCTGTGGTTTGATTGTCGTTAAGTTTCTTAGTTTGGGCGTTTGGAGTTGTAATTCACGTTGGGGATGAACGAAGGGTGTCGAGAGTCTTGCAGTTCTGCAAGACTTGAAAGTTCAGTAAAAAAATGGAAGTTCGGGTTCGAGGTTTAGGTTTGAGGTGCAGCCGAACCTCCAATAATGAGGTTTCCTGATGTGTTCGCATCTCGGGGTTCGGGTTGAAGCTTCTTTCGGCGAGGGTTCAGCGTGCAAGGCGGAGTATTCTGGGGTTTGGGTGCTGAGACCTGTGCCCCCCGCCCGTCTTCAAACGGCGAACATCAAAGAGTTTGGATTGCGTCAGGTACCGGGTGGGTGGTCCTGGGTTGGTTTGCAGTGCTACTCAAGAGTTTGTAGTTTGGAATGTCGGGCAGGGGATTTGCTCTTTTTGTGCTTGCTTTGAAGGTTCCTCTTCGGGTGATTCTGGAACTTGAGTAAAGTCTCTAATTATCTAATTCTCAAGCAGAGAAGACACACTGTTGTTTCGCGAAAAGCCACCCGGTCCTTTCGAGCTTCCCTGGTAACGGGCAGCGGAGGAGTCCCTCTCCGACGTAAAGCCTTGCTCGCAAAACCCTTGAACCTTGCATGCTCAAGATTTCCAAATGGGGCATGGGGGATAATGGACTCTTATAGTTGAGGGACCTGACAATTCAAAGTTGCCAGGTGTGCATTGGCCTGCTGCTTAAGCTTGCGCATCTAAACCGAAATGATCTCGAATATAGGGGCTTGAATAATCCGTGTTCCTTCCGTTTCTTCGATGTATTTGTAACAGCCCCGAGCAGCTCCCAAAACATCCGAACCTTGCAGTCCTGAATCTTGGACATCCAAACCGCGTTTCTGGCAAAAGCACGGCAAAGCCCTGAATCTCACAGAAAATCGACGAGTTCAACCCGCAGAGCATCTCGAACTCAGGCTTTTCCCGGCATGTGTTCTCGGGTCAGGGTTGCGGGTTCAGCACAACCTCCTGCATGAAACGCAATGATATTGTTTCAACACGTGTGCGCGCTAGCTCCAACTGCAAGCATTTTTGGGCTCAGCGCTCAGCATCAAAGTCTGTCAAACGTTTCTTCCCATTCGACAGGCGTCCCTGTCAGGCAAAGTGTAACTGAGGGCCTTGTGAAACTAGCAATGGAAACTTTGTAAAACCTTTGAAGACCTTAATCCAACGGTCTTCTTCGAGGTGTCTTAGGTCTGAATTAGGCTTTCAAGGGCTTACTGTTTACGGTTCCAAACCCTGAACCCTAAACCTTAAGCCCCAAGCCCCGCATGGGTTTGCCATGGCAGTCTCGAACCAGCAAGCAGTCTGCCGAGCTTTGCGGGCCAGTGCCTGCGCCAAGCGGCCGCGTGAGGCTTCACATTGCAGGGTATTTGGGGTAGAGGCGGATCAGGGAGTCTCTGCTGAGCTGCGTACTTGCAGACAAGGCAGTGGCAGTGTAATCGGGCCAACGTACTGGAGTCCTTGCGTTGACCGGAGGTCTATTCAACTGGTTTGAGTTGCCATTGATGGCCAGTAACTATCTGTACAAGGTCTAAATTCTAAAGTTCATCGAGATCGTGGTGTCTTTAGCGTTCAATGGCGTTCATGCGTGTTTTCGCGCCGAAGCTATGAATCAGGCTATGAACATATGCCTCGCTTGGGCAGTCCGATGTGAGCGTCGAGACCCCTTGAACGAATCTAAATTCTTCGACACCGGGGTAGCGAGTCGCTCAATCCAGCAGAGGCAACCTTCCACCTTGCAGGGTCCCGGTATGAGCCTTACAGGTGTCCCCGGGCCGTTAGCCATTAGGGCCAACTGGAGTGCAGGGTTCAGGGCTGTGGGTCTTGCGGTCAGTGGGCCGTTTTGGTTTGAGACTTCGAGAGTTCAAGACTTTAGACTTTTGTTTTGCGGCTTGAGGGCTTGGACACATCAAGGCACGTTCCTCACGGGTCCAGCATTGAAGACCTGAACAAGCTTAGCTCCAAGCAGGAACCCTTTGGAATATCCCTAAATCCCTTGACCCCTTCCAGCAACTTTGGAAACCGCAGGAGTCCCACTTCGGCCCTACACGAAACCTCCCCACAGGCCATGCGAGTGCTGGATTCAATGCGAGAGGCAGCTTTGGAGGTCGCCGCGTTCAGGGTTTAGGGTAAGGGTTTAGGGTTCTAGGCTTTAGGGTTTTAGGGTTTAGGGTTTAGGGTCGTTTAGGGATGATGAAGAAGACTATTGTGATGGTGGCCAGTTTCACAAGCAATCTGCGACGGCACGACTGATGACTCCTGAGATGCTGACTGCAAACCCTGCTTGAACAACTGCTTGCCGCGATTCTTCTTCTTCGTCTGGTGATGATGGCGATGCGAGAGTCTTTTTGATCGTGGGAGGCGTTCCAGTCTGCAGTGTTGCGGTTGGTTCAGTGCAGTGTCGTCATAAGTGCTGTCTGCAGTTCGGCGTTGCTTTAGACCCAATGCTCGCGGAACAAAACGCTGAACCTTCTCGGGCCCAAGGCCCAAAAGGAGCCACGCCCTGAACAGTTGGCCGTCCTGCACTACAACTTGGCACTGGGCGCTTGTGTTGCGAACTGGCAGCTGGCTTGCACATTGCTGGGGCAGATGTGCAGAAGCCGGAGCATGGATGCTGCCCAGCTGGCAGGCTTTCTGGAGGGTACGTCTGGGGTGGTGGAGTGACGGGGTTCAACCAGCCTCAATTCCGAAGTCCTGCGAAATCCGAGGCTTTCAGCTTTTCTAGCTGCATCAATGCCTGCGCCTATGCTTCTCGCTGGAGGCGGGCCCGGTGTAGGTTACAGGCCTTGTGCGATGGAGCTGGAAGTTTTGGAAGGCCAGCCCCCCAAGTGCTGGGGTCTTGCATCTCCGAAAACCCCAGGGTGTAGGGTTTAGGGTTTTCGCCAGGTGTTGAGTCATGTTTTTGGCCTCCGAACCCTTCAACCCTGCACTCTGGAATCCGGAACTGTGGTTCCCAAAGCCCAGATCGCAAAGTCTCAGTGCCTGAAACCCTAGCCCACCTTCCTCGAAGCCCTGAACCCAAAGGCCCTGGCCCACAACCTAAAGTCCAAATCCCTGAAGCCCACAAACCCCAAAACCCAAAAACTCTAGCTAGCGTCGTGCAGTTGAAAAACAGCACACAAAAAAGAAGCCATCAACCCCTGAAGCCCTGAGCCGCGAGAGTCGAAAGCCCTAAACCCCCGTAGCCATTTTGGCTTAAGGCTCAGAAGCAGAGGGCCTTCACCGCCAGCCGTTCTCTTTGTTTCCCTCGGCGTTGGACCAATGGCGGCTCCTGGAGGACCAGAGTTCAAGCTCGTGCTCTGCGGTGATGGTGGTGTTGGAAAGACGACCCTGGTCAAGCGCCACCTGACAGGCGAGTTCGAGAAGAAGTACATTCCAACCCTAGGTGTCGAGGTGCACCCACTGCGATTCACCACGAATTGTGGGCCGCTGACCTTCAACGTTTGGGACACTGCCGGCCAGGAGAAGTTCGGCGGTCTGCGTGATGGCTACTACATTCAGGGTCAATGTGCCATCATCATGTTCGACGTGACGTCCCGCATCACATACAAGAACGTGCCCAATTGGCATCGCGACATTGTGCGGGTGTGCGAGAACATTCCCATCGTCCTTGTTGGGAACAAGGTTGATGTGAAGGACCGCCAGGTTAAGGCAAAGAACATCCAGTTCCACCGAAAGAGGAACCTGCAGTACTATGACCTCAGCGCCCGGAGCAACTACAACTTCGAGAAGCCCTTCCTCTGGCTGGCCCGACGATTGACGAACCAGGGCAACCTCCAGTTCGTTGGACAGTTCGCCAAGGCTCCAGAGATCCAGATCGACAACGCCCTCATCGCGCAGCACGAGGAGGAGCTCCGAAATGCGCAGAATGTGGCCATCAACGACGACGATGAGGACCTCTAAGAGCAGAGCACCAACCTGCGCTGCCTGAGACGGCGGAGCTGGTGGCGGGAGATTTTGTCCGAAAGACTTCCATGACTGCACTATCAGGCTAAAACGTCCCACTGTGCAGAGGGACTGTTTGGCGTCTTCCTGCAAGGGCAGTTAGGAGGCCGTTGTGATTGAACGATCCAGCCGCAAGCCGCATTCAGCTTGACGCCAGCTTGCCGCGGGGACAGACCAACGTTTCGTGCAGCCTCGTTGGAAAAAACTTCGAATTGGTGACACCGTTTTGTGCAAGCTCGACTCTGATGACCGACATAGACTGTACCCTCTCTTTTGAAACAGCAGTCTCTGGACGTGACACCTACGTTCATAGAGCAGTCGCTGACATGCGACAAGCTTTGACACTACGCTGTGAATCAGGCTGCACTTCTTGTTTATCTGTTATCCCCTGTGGCAGCTGATTCCTGGTGTACTGTCCTGGCATGTCCCAGTAGCAATCTCGGACGCTGTGAGCCATGCCTGCTTTGCGAGCGTGTGAGTCGAATCGCCCGAATCCCTGCATGGAGGCAGGTGCTTTGCATCCTCAGCTCTCTGGAAGCCGAAGAGGTTCAGCAGACGACGATTTGCTGCTTGGCCTCGGAGTATTCACGGCATCTGTGCAGTAAATACTGTCGCTTCTTGACCGGGTCCCTTATGGTACATCCAAGACAAGTAACAACTAAGTTGTGGATCTGGCTCCTGATGCCGAAAAGCGCCACTGCACAAGCACCTGAACCACAAAAGTAAAGCTTCCCTATGGTTCCGAGCAATTAAACTTGCCAAAACAGGTGAGGCCCCGGACCTTCCACCAGCCCTCTGAAAATTTGAGCTTCGATCTGTTAAGCTGTACGATGAGCGTTCATTTAACACCCAAGCTCTAAGCTCTCGATTTAATCTGAAGACCTGAGCTTGGGCAAAGCTCGACGCGCGAACAGCACCATGCGCGGATCGTACAAATGAAGCCCCGAACATCTTGAAACGGCCCGAACCTAGAACTTGAAGTCCGAATCGGGCTTAGTATATGAGCCTCATCTGCTTTGCCCATGGGACCAATACGCTTGCCCTGAAGCGATAAACGTAATCAATAGACCCTAAACCTGTAAAGCCGAAGGCTCCCTGACTCTCCGCAGCTAGGCTACAACTCGGCCCTCTCTGCGTTGCTTCGGGCTGGCCTCTGGCAGCTTTGCCTGGAGCTGCTGTCGGCGATGTGGGGCTTCCTCAAAAAGCTTTGGGGTCTGATGCCACAGTTTTTTGTGCGGGCAGGTTCTAGAGTTCTGTGATGCCCTGGTGCCCGAGACGATAAAGTCTCCGATCCTAAACCCCGGGTACGTTGGGCCCAGAAGATATGCATAACTGTCTTGGCTGACCGGAAGATGTAAGCCCTACCTAAACCCCCAAAGGCGCGAGAGTGAGAGGGAGCTGCCTCTGGACATCGTCTCCTTCACCATAGCGATACAAGCGTGTGATGAGGGCGGCAGGTGTGCTCCAAAACCTGTTGGCTTTGGGCGGTTTGGGAAATTTGTGAGTTGAATGTTCGGTGTTCTCAGACCAAGGCGGTTGAATTTCTGGTCGGCGAATCATTGTCAGCAAGAGAACTAGTAGTAGACCCTTATTTCGAACAGCCTGCAGGTGGGACGGCGTGCTACAACTGCTAGGGTGCATGCGACCTGCTGAAATTCAGCCGGATGTCATGAGCTTCAACTTATCTGCCCCTGGGCGTCTGGTTTGTGATAGTGCGCGTTGCAAGTACAAACATAGAGTTAGAAGGATACACCTTCAACCCTTAATGGAAACATTTCGGTCCGCATAGGCTTCTGCCATCGGCACGCTCTTGCACAACACCGGTTGGTTTATCCGGCGACCCACATGCCAGCGTGCATCTGAGCAGTCTTTCATGGTATGCTCGAGTTCAGGTACATTCCAATGCGCATCGCTGGTATGGTGCCTTGCAGTTGCTCTCCGACGCGCTATTTCTCAGGAGCTAAGATACGCACCTAAACGGAACCTCTTTCAATGGCAGTGCTGCGTCCCAGCAGATTCTCTTTGTAGGGTTTTGTGGAAAGGAATTTTGTAAACCCCAAGACCAAAACCACGTAAGCCCCACTCCCTTGCTTTGCAGGATTCGGCCAAATCTGCTTAGCTTCCACAGCATTCTTGGCCCCGAGCTTGGATGGCGGCGAATGCTCGATCTGCTCGGCTTGCTGCAGCTACAGAACCTAGAGCCAACCACAGCGACTAGGCCTTATCACGTACCGGTGTTGTTTGGCAAGGGCCATGACTGCTTGTGGCGAGGGCTTCGGTCTTATCAATGCTGGGCTTAAACGCCAGATGCCAACCCCAAACCCCAAGCTTCGAGGCCTTTACTGCCCAGCTGGAACTTCAGCTTCGTGAGTGTGTACGGTACTGGGTCGCAGCCTCCAGCCCTTAGGCTGTACAGGCCTTATGCTGTGGGACCGCTGTGTACGCAGATCGAAAGTACCTTCGAGGTGACGTTCAATGCGGCGCTGGCGGCCTGTGCACAGGAGGGTGGATGGCACCATGCCCAACTTCTCTTCCAGCGAGTCCGAGGCGCCGAATTTACGTGGACTTGATAGAGCCTACGGATCCAGAGCCAACTTGTCAAGACGGGATCTCTTCTTATCCCACCGTCTGCGTGATCTTGTGATCTTGAAGACCTGAGATGTAGCAGTTCCCAAATCTTGCATTTCATTGCGCTGTAGGGTTGATGTTTGGAGAAGCTTCGATGTTAGGGCAGCGGGCGGTTGAGCTTGTATGGACCTGGAGCCTAAGCGTTCCAGATTCAGATTTCAAGCTCTTGCACTTCATGAAAGTTCGGGTCAGGTACCCTTAAATCGAGCACGTTTGTTCTGGCTCCTTTTGCTATTGCCGTTGCCTCTGCTGCCGGCGTCGGCGTCGGCGTCGACGTGGTCGGGGTCGTGGTCGGAGTCGGGCTTGTGGTTGTTGTTGCTGCTACGTATTCCACTCGCCGCCCCGAAAGGTATGCATGCCAGCGCTTCCAGCTATTCTGCTGTAGTTGCACTTGCTTCCCGCTGAACATGAGTGTGGTTTCGCAGGAGGTGCGAAAGGAGTTCTGCCCGATCCAATCAGCTTCAACTCTGCGATGAGGGCATGCCAATTGGACCGGTGGCGCTGGTCTTCGGATCTTTTCTGGACCATGCAGTTGACCGGGAATTTGCCAGATACCTGAGTGTCCAGCAACATTTCCTTCTTGGTTTCCCGGGTAGCAGCACCAAAGATGGCGGCAGGGATGGTAAATGCAACACGTGCAGTACATGCGGTGTATTCCAAAAGGAGGCCCGCAGGTGAGGCTTCGTAAACTCGTTGCTCTTGGCACCCAAGGATTGCATCAGCCTGACGGCAAGCATCATGGCGAAAGGCAGAGGCATGCAATGGCTTCTAGCAGCACAGTGCCTTGATGCCAAGCGGGGCCCCGCCATCTTGCCGAATGTGATCACATTCACTGCGGCGGTTGGTGCGTGCGGCGCTGCGGGCGCATGGCTGGCAGCCCTGGCAATGTTGAACACCATGGCTCTGTCTACAGTTGAGCGGGATGCCATGTCGCAGAACTGGGAGACAAGCACATGTGCAACAGCTAGCCAGTGGGCGTTGGCTTTGTCTCCGGATGTCCGAAAGCTGATTCCCAACGACTTCGGCTCTCTGTCATTCACCCTGTCCGAACATGGTCACCACTGGGAGCTGGCGCTGGAAATGCTGTCAGGCAGTGGACAGCAGGCCTTGAAATCCAGTGCTTTGGCAATCAGCTCGGCGATGACGGCTGCCACTTCCTGTGCTCGGTGGCAGCACTCTCTGGAGCTTTTCACAGCTTCCGGCCGAGGTCGGGTTGCACGTAGAATGTCGCAGACCTAGACTGCTGCAACCCCAAAACTTTCAGGATCGAGTTGCAAGCAGGCTCCGAAAGTAACAGCGGCAAACCCTCCCCTACCCCGCGAAGACCTGAGCCTTACTGTGCACCGCAGCATACCTCGAGGTGACAGAGACCTGGCCATCCACAATGCTGCCACTCGGATAGACTGTATTTGGAGGACTGGAGGACTCAAGAAGTAGGATAGATCTAAAGGCTACTTTGCAAAGCGGAACTTATACATACTTGCACAGCTTATCAGTGTATTACTACGTATGGCATCCCGTACCAAGTCCCTGCCTTTCAATACCCGGCAGCCCTTAATCCTGGACCCTGGAACCCGAAGTTAGCCAGCTCCCCGATAGCCATACAGCTTTCAGCAGGGGAATGGTTTTTTCCAGTGGGACATGTCAATCAGCCCCATCTTTCCCTGTATCATCGCACAGCGAGTATCATCTGGCAGAGTCCGCGGGTGAGGCGGTAAAGCCCAAACACGAATCTCTCCTAAACACCAAGCTTCAAGCCCGAAGAACTGAACCTGTAAACTCCTCTTTCTAAAACCCGTATTTTAAGCACACACCATAAATCCTTTATTCAACCCGGAGCCCAAAGCCTTAAAAACGCCCTACTCCCTGCCTTCTATGAGGCCGCCACGGCTCTGGAGAAGGGCAGCAGATGGTGCTCCGCGCTCGCCGGGCTGGGGATCCTTCGTGCATCGCGCTGGGCTCCCGACGAGGTAGGGCCAGCAAATGTGGAAGAGATTAAGGGGGCTGGGTTTTTTCGGTCCGCGAAGGTTTTTGTGGCTTCCGGACAATACTGAGAAAACCCAGTTCGAAAGGGATTAGCGAATCTGAGAACGAAGAGCGTGCCGCTCGGAACTAGAGTCAATAGAGAATCTGAGAGAAAGCAGCAAATTCTTCGAAAGGTGCCAAAAAAAGTCGGCGAAAGAGGAAGGAGCGCACCCTTCGAACTTGGTGCATTTCTTGATTTGCACGTTCGGCAGGGACAAGAGAATCTGAGAAAGAGGAGCGACGTCTTCGAAAGGGCTACAGAATCTAGCCAAAAGCGAACCGTTCAAAACGGATTAAAGGATCTGAGAAAGAGGAGCGAACAGTTCGAAAGGGACTAGGATATCTGAGAAAAATCAGCGAAGCGTTCGAAAGGGACTAAAGAGAAGTTGAGACATAGGAGCGAACCAGTCGAAAGGGACTACAGAGTCTGAGAAAGAGGAGTGAACCGCTCGAAAGAGACTAGAGAATCTGAGAAACAGGATCGAACCGTTGGAAAGGGGGCTCGGGAACTTCAGAAAGAGGAACGAACTGTTCGAAAGGAACTGGAGAGTCTGAGAAAGCAAACGGAGCGAATCGTTTGAGTTTGACTAGAGAACCTGAGAACGAGGAGGTCACCTTTCGAAAAGGACTAGGGAATCTGAGAAAGAGGAGCGAACC